ACGCAATGTATAGCAAAACCTCTAAAGATTCATGACTATTATAAATCTTTTAAAAATTATTATTGTACGGTCTATAATGCTCAGTTTATATCTCTCGTTAGTGGACCAAGGATTTTCACGCAGAGTTGAATATTTGCGTAAGCTCTCTTAGAGAAGAAACACATTAATCTTTTCGACATTTGAATGCGACATTCTATCCAAGAAAGTTCACTTCAATCTAAATTATTTCACTAATTCAACAACATTTCACTGTTTATAACCGAAAATTAGCAGAACAGATAATTTGGAGTCGTGAATCTATATGTTTTTTGCACAGTACTTGTATTTCTTTCTCATAATTTATCAGAACTTTTGATTTATTATTTTGACAAGACAATTTTCTGCCTTGATAAAACTACTAACGAATGGAAATATTTGATGAATAGACCGTCCATATATTTGATTACGATCAGACTGCGATGCAATTGTTAAAAAAAGAGGCGACATGAGCGTGCTTCTGAGACTTGGAAAAGCGTTTACATTTTTAGAAATTTACTCTCTCAATAAATTCATAACTTGCCTGCTTCTACAGGTATGCCACTGTTTTGAACAAAGAGAATGTTCAACGCCTAGAGAAAGTGATTGCACAAAATTTCATCTAAAAACATGATTCCCGAAACTTGAATTTATTCTGTTGCCTTCAATTTTCATTATCAGAGAGTCACAATTGCTCAGTAGAAAATTTGGCTGTTATTGTTCGATATTGACAATCAAAGTTCAATGAAAATAATATCAACTTCAATAGAGTTCAGACAGAGAAAATGATCGACAAGCATAGTCAAATACTACAAGCTCATGATACACCTTTTTATTCTATTGCTACTCTTAATATTTAAACCACCGTCTAAATCGACATTATTGCATATCAATGGAACCATCAAACATATTGGTCAAATTAAACAAATTTATATTATTAATTTACCTAATCGTCCTCATCGGCGAACAAGTACAATAGCTCTCATGCAAACACTTCATTTCGATGCATTTTATAGTACTCGCCTACACTATATATTCTCCTGAAGTCGTTTCTCATAATCATCTAGTGCAAAATGGGCAACTTACCTTAGTTGAACTTGCTTGCCGGGCAAGTCATTTGCAGATTTGGTCAGCGATTACTACTTCCGATGATAATGACAGTTGGTCACTCATATTCGAAGATGATATTAATCTCGAAACATTCACATCAGAAGTGCTTCAGTCGTTTCCTCATGATCTATGGAATAAACCAGATTTAATCTATTTCGGTTCTTGTGGCAATATACCTGGTTCGATGATTAGTGAAGAAGCATACGGTTATCGTATCCATTGAGCACTTAATCCAAGTTGTACACATGCGTATGCAATCCGATCACATGCTGCCGTCAAACTCCTTCGTCTATTATCTTCATCACGGAGAGCAGTTGATGATGAAATTGTTCGCCTGTTGAATAGTGAAAAACTATTGATATTTAGCATTCATCCATCATTAGCCCTACAAAAAATGATTACACCTTCAAATCCGTCCGATGTGAATCCAGTAAAACTTTTGTGGCTGTTTCAAGTTAAAGTATGGATCAATTCCATGTTACAATGGTGGCAAGGCGTGGAACTAATCGATAAACTGAAAGATTCAGCATTAGTCAGAGCCTATTTAAATAAAGCTGCAGAATGGAGAGAGAAGAATGAACATGAAATTTGGCAAAATGATAATAGGAATAATTCTGCTTGTATTCGATGTTAAATACTGAGAATGAAGTACATTTATCGGGTATAATGTGCATTACATTTTTTTATTTCGAAAATAAATTTTAAAAGTCTTGTTGCATCAATTTTATTTTAGTCGATTGTTATACCGACGATATAAACAGAAGGTTATTTAAGTCATTTCATGCTTGCATGAAACCTTAAGATACAAATTGAATGATTGAAAAATGGTCATCTAATAATCTCTCGACTTCTTTCAGGTTGTGATCGATGGGTATAAGCTCAGCCTATCAAAATTTTCAAAGATATTTTCTCGAATATTTAATATTAATTGAAGATAATCAAATAGAGTTCCCATTTAGGAACAGATTGGTGAGTTTAATAGCCAACAAGTGATTTCTTATTCTTCGCAATGTTCAATTTCTAGTCTGCGAAATAAATCGTCCTTGAGACTGTTGGTGTGGGATGGAAGGAGAAAAGTCTGAAGGGTCTCTTCACTCACATGCACACCTTCCATTTAAGTTCATAAATGTAGGAGTTATGCAAAAATGCTTTAAGTTAAACACTTTTTGGACACACTGTACATAGGGTATGGTGTAAAAATCTCGAAAAAAAAAATCTCGAAAGAAATAAGCCCGAAAACAATAATATCGAAAAACCAAAAGATCGAAAAATCAAAATCTCGAAAAAACAGTATTTCGAAAAAATGAATCTTGAACAGTCTCCAGGTGCGGATGTGAGGTGCATGTGGGTGTGGGTGTGTGGGTGTGAGTATGGGTGCGTGTGGGTGTGGGGTGCATGCGGGTGTGGATGTGGGTATGAGTGTGGGTGCATGTGGGCACATGGGGTAATGTGGGTGTCTGGGTGTGGGTGTCTTGGTATGGGTGTGGGTGCATGTGGGTGTACGGGTGTGGATATAGGTATACTTGGGCGTGTGGGTAAGGCAAGATTCGGATCCCCACATACACCCACACTCAGTTTCAATCCAAACTCATTCTCCACTGACGTCTTTAACTATTTGAAATCCTATTTTATTCGGCATTTGGTATTTCGAGATTTTACATTTCGAGATTTTTGTTTTCGAAATTTTTTTTTCGAGATTTGCGTTATTCAAATTTTGCGTTTCGAGATTTTTACTGCAATTCGTACATAGTCCAATTGATATATTAATTTGTGCCCTAAAATGTCGCCGTAACATATCGATATTGCTGACAATGAATTGAAGCAAATTTCAGAAGTCTTATTTTTTATCGACACTTACAAAATTAATGAAGTGGAAAAGTATATAATACGATGGAAGAAATAAAAATCAATAAAACACAGACAAAGTTCTACTACACATACATTCATACTCTGATAGACCATAGTACATCTTACTGAGACTATTCATATAAATTAATAAAAATTGAATTATTTTGTAATTCATTTGCGTCATTCATTGCTGTCATTACTGTAGGGGACGTTCAGAATATGACTGGTCTGCTCAAATATAAGTTTAGAGATCTATTTCATATAATCTTCATTTACCATTTGTGTGTTAAATTCGACTAGTATGGTTTATTTGATAATTGTAGATGACTTCAATTCGATCTTGAATAAAACTGTTTCAATTCAAATGTTGAATAGAACTTAAATGAACATCGAACGAAGCTATAGAAAATTCATGCTAATCGCTTGAACTATTCAAGAGAGTTATTCACGATTATTTTGATCCCGATGGACTTTTGGAAAATTTTGTACTTGTATAATCATAAAGATTTTTCAAGAGATATGGTACAAATATATTTATTGATGATTCTATTTCATGATTAAAGAAATATTATTTTATTTCAAATAAAACTCTCATAGAAATTCGTCTTAAAGATTTTGAAAGTACACCCTTTTATATAAAAGAATTGTTAGACGATTCTTTAGTAAACATTGACAACAGTAAATGACGAAAAAAAAAAAATTTCAAGAACATGTTCTTAAAGAATCAAATAGATTTAATCGATATTTTATTCACATTAGTACTTGTCTTGATTTATTTAGTCTACAAAAAAAAAGAATTGTTTTCATTGGTATTATTTTAATGAAATCTATTTTCTAACCTTTTTAGTTGTATTGGTTTGAGCAGCTTTTTGAAAAATAGTTTTATATAATTCTTTTTCTTTAACTTCATGTGCTTTAATTTCTTGTTGACATATATCAATTTGTTGTTTAGCAGCAACATTCGATGGATTTATTTTAAGAACAGTTTCAAAATCTTGAATAGCTCGATCATAAAAACGCATTGCTAAATGACATTGACCACGACGATAAATACATTTTTCATTTTGATTATCGAAATCTAATGCTCTATTACATACTCGTTTAGCATCATCATAATTACCCATTTTCATATAACATAGAGCTAAATTAGATTGAGAAGCAATTTTCAAATATTTACATCTATCTCTATCACCATCATGATTAAAAATTGCTGATATAAGATATTCATATATTTTTTTGTATTTTTTTATAGCAACTTCATAATGACCACCCTTTGAAATAATACAACATTAGATCGATGATATTAAATAGAAATAGAATTTTGACATACTTTAAGTAATGCATCACCACGTTCTTTTAAAATTTCTGATTCTGCTAGTTTATCTTCATCGGTTTGTGGTTTAGTATCTTTAGCCTATAGAGAAATAATTCGATGGATTGTTCGTAAGAATAATTATGAATTTTCTTACTCGTTCAACTCTGATCATAGTAAGATCATATTCAACAGTTGCATCAGAAGGAATATCATATTTTGCAAGGCATTCAATCGCTTTAGATTTTAAATATACTCTACATTGTTCACCTGTAGCCATTTTGAAAGCACAAAGTTCGATACTAAAAAAACAATGAATAATAAAACATGTTCAATCAGTTATCAGAAAGTCTTGTAGAATCAATACCGTATAGAAATATACTTCGAAATATAATCTATCTAATGGTATAAATAACTTTGTTATTCAATTCTCAAAGAAATTTGGAAAAATAGTTACCCAAAAATCAGCCTGTAGATCGTCATGTCACCTGAAAAATTCATATCTGACAGAATTAAACTATTCAACAGGCAAATCAAGTACATTTTCTGAACCTACAACCCGAGCTCTAGAGAATCATAAAAAAATATTTTTTAATTTGTACGTTTAATTTCTGCAACTCAATCACCTCGAACCTTCAAAATTTTTCAACTTTTACCAGAATGTTCTTCTATCTACTGTCTTTAATCTCCGTTAACGCAAACATTCCTGAACTGCACAGTAGGTTCCAAAAGCCTAGATTTTTTTTAGTTATGTTTCAATTTTTCTAACTTTGAAAAAAGATTTAATCAAAAAATAAATAATATATTCTAAATCAGCGCATTAAACTGCATCTGATAATATATAACATAAAACAATTTTGACGAAAAAAATGAGGGTACGAGTCTTTCTCAGACATTTTCTGTCAAAAAACCTTTTTTTCTTAAAAATGCTTTTCTGCGTCATACTTAATTATTTCTGAGCAAGAAAGTCATATATTCACCTGTCATGCGAAAAATGCATAGAAAGCTAGTTCAAGGTCTGATCTTTCATAAATGACATGATTTTTTATTTGATATCTAGTTTTTTCTAAAAATTTTTGCGATTTTATGCTTGAAAGGAATGACTTTTTTCAGGTAAACTGGAAGATCTTTTTCTATTTTTATTTGCTTTTGATCGCGTATCCAAGAAAATTCTCCAAGGAGTTTCATGATACTCGACGAATAGTTTTTTTGAATTGAACTTTGTTACGATTACATAAAAAAATACTTTTATAATTATAGCACTGTTCTTGTAAGTTTTTAGAGATATTGTATTTTTCATCCTTCGTGTCTTCTTAAAAAGTGAGAATTTGAAAAAATAAATATATAAAATGAAGACTGACAAAGAATTTTAAGTTGCCAAATGAGCTATTGTTGACTCCCCAACATATTCTGAAAACTTCATGCGATTTGATTGTATCTAGACCAAAGCCGATACTTGAGGAGGGGGCTTCAATAAAATTTCAATTTGACTGGTAAAAATTCAATGTTTCAGTCTATGAGAGCTGAGAAATTATTAAAGAAAATTTTCAAAATTTCGGACTGTATAAAGTTAAGTGAGAAGCTTTTAGAAAAGAGAATTTACATATAAAAAAGAAACAAAATTTCAATAAATTATATTACAACAAATATTTGTTTAGACAGAAGGTTTTCTACAGAACACCTTAAAAGTCTTCCGCCACGTTTTTTGTTGTGAGTCATATATTTAAATTATGCAACATTAATTTAATTCGACTATATACTTGTATAGTAGATATCGAGTACTATGTATATATACATGCACCTGTTTAATATGCTATGAAAAGAACAAACAAATTTCAATATTACGAAAAAAAAAGATTCCAATTTCCAAATAACGGGTGGGGCAAAAGTTTTGCATTGATTTTGTTTTTGATATAACTCTGCAACGCAATGTCGTACAGACTTGA